GTAAGTTGTATTGCAAGCTGCAATCTCAGAAATTTAACGTTCCATTCGCACAACTCAATACAAAACAGAACAGAGAAAGGCTTGTTCGATTTCCCACAGCCGGAGATACCGAATTCTGTCGCTAGTAACGAACCAGAATTTGGAAGGACCCTTTAGGACTCGTGCTGTGTGCTATCTCAACTTCATCCAGAACGAGAGGTACCCAGCAAAAAAAGGAGCTAATAATACATTAATTTTTGGGGCAGTGTGTCCTTGCATTGTGGTGAGGTATCTCGCAAGATAGTGAAGGAAGAATTTCTAGCAAAATTTTCCTTCAAAGGCATTCACATTATCTCCACACTTCTTTGTTCTGCTCGCCTTTATCGGTGTTCAGCAAAGTAGCAATGGCACAATTTGATAATAGAATACGTAAAAACTTGCATAACAATTCATGGCAATAAATCGTGCTCTATACTTATCCACATCCGCCTGACGACCACAGTACACAGCGCCAAGGTTAACGAGAATGTGATTAGTAATCAGTGTAGTTACGAGTAAATCAAGGGTGAACTCCAAGTAGGTGTAACAGAGAAGCAGCAGACTTGCATGCGAGAACCTCGATCTGGACTTCGACTACCGGGTGACAGATGGGTTCCGTGATTTTACTCAGTAGTTTCAGCCAAATGGCAGGATACTTTTTCCATTATGCCGAGACTGCTTCCTTCGAAACGCTTTTCACCAGACGTCCTACCAGTCAACTGCATACCGTCAGCGGCGCAATATACAGGGTGCTTTAATGAATCGGGCGATTTTAAAAACGTTATCAACACTAAACTGTTGCTTTTATTTGGTTTCAACACACATAAGTACAGTATAAACATAAAAGCATTTGGTTTTTCTTAATTAACTCGATGAGAACAGAAATAACACCATATTCTGACTTTGGAACTGTGAAGTGGCCTCTCATAAATTTTTTGGGGTTTCTGTCTGAACAATAGCGGAAATTTTGCTTGTTAACAAACCCCGACAAATGAAAATTAGCTGTATCGCTCATCAATAAGTTGTTAAGGACATCTTGGTTTTGATTAATTAATTGCAGAAAAGTCTGGCAGAAATCAACTCTGTTTTCATAGTCGTATTCGTGTAGTGCATGAGTAATTTGAATTTTATGGGGGTAGAAGTGGAGATCTTTGTGCAAAATCCGCCGAACGCTGCCTTCGGACAGCCCGAGTGATGTAGCGTGGCGACGCACAGACCGGCGTGGACTTCGTTCAATGGCTTCTCGCACTGCCGCTACATTCTCGGGTGTACGTGCTGTTTTTGCGCTACCACCTTTCTTCTTTAGTGTAGAACCAGTAGCCTCAAAGTTTTGAACCCAGGTCTTGATGGCATGGGCAGACGGAACAGCACGATTGCGATGAATACCCAACTCTTCGAAATTTACGCTGAGCGATCACGAAAATGTCACCGTTTTTGTAAAATGCTTTCACAGCAAAAGCAAGTTGTGATAGAGTCCACCGCTTTGAAATTGGCTGCCGAAACACGCTGCCAAATCGCCCGATTCATTGACGCATTCTGTACATGTATGTACATACAGAGAAAGGGGATCTCATTGCGTCCCTGTAATATAAGCATCATATTCTTCGCTCAGAGGTAAGCAGGAACGGTCATAAAGACGAGGGCCAGTCCAAAAGTAATGCCCTATTCTTTTCTAAAAATACCTTTTTTATTTTACAACATTGTTATCCACACTGTGAATAGGCACAGCCTTTAGGAACAAAAGTAGCCCCCTTCTCACTCTCAACTGACTACCTCGGAACAAGGACCTGTATGTCCCGCGGTGAAAATCATGATAAGCACTCCTGAGTCACTTTTTCACTGATGTCGCAAGAGAGTCATCGCCTTTAAAATGTGTCTCACGAAATTGTATTTTACGAGTTTATCGAGTTTATCGTAGTTTATCGAGTAGGTGATAATCTGACGGTGCCAGGTCTTGTTAAAGGGGCCTCTTGTCACCACGGTATGGCGCGTCCTCAGGTTGCGGATCAAGGAGACTGCCTCCAGACATGGAGTGAGCTGCGAGTATATTGGATAAGCAGTTGCAGACAACCGGCAAGGGGTAGTCCTCCAGCGTGGGGCTTTTAAATCCCTCACCGTAAAAAATAAGCTTGTTACGAATATCACAAAGGACCTCGGATTTTGGCGGATTCTTTGGATAAAGGTCTTAAGCTAAGGAAAATGAACATGAGATTTGGTTCGTGAAGTGCAACAGGACAGGGACCAGTGAAGGGCTCTTGTGAACACGGTAACAAACCTCTGGGTCCCATAAAATGTTGGGAAATTCTTGAGTAGCTGCATAACTGGCGGCTTCTCATGAAGTTAGTTAGCCAGAATAGAACTATATGATAGATGTGACAACACTGTCCACTTTAATTTTGTGATCGCCTCCGTGGTTGGCAGTCTGATATGTGGCCGTCATCCTTCCTTCGGTGTGGTTGCATACGGCGCACCCATGAATGAAGCTTTTTCAGCGTGTTCGCTTACGTTGTGGCTCCTCTTCTCATGATGACCACAAGCAGAGTTCCTTCCGAATCCATGAAAATTGTCTCCGTTATCTCTCCTGTCCTCCGCGATCACCATACCTCACCCCTTCCTTCTACTTGCAGGCCACGCCCAACGGCGTAACAAGCGCAGTGAGCCGAGGAATCCCATTGAGGCGGCTAAGGGCAACATGCAGCATTCCCAACGTCTTTCAGCGGGCCAGGAATTCATGGCGGAACAGGGTTCAGTTCTGCGTTTCAACATCTTTCATAAACCTCGAGTGAGTGGCCAGATGCTGTTCTGTTCACAGATAACAAACTCTTTTTCCAAAAATACGACATTTGACCACTCTTATTTCTATGTGTTTCCTATTGACATATCTGACTAACGAAAAAGTAAACTAAAAAAAACGGTAAAGCTATTGCTATAACAGGCCGTGAAGGCCCATAGGGTTGTGAGACGTTGAGGGTCCCACATTATCTAGACAATCGGCTCATAGATGTCGGTAAGGTTGTCAGCCTTACGCGCCGACCGCGCTTTAATCCCCAGGAAAATTATTTAATTAATTCCTGGTACTCATTTCTGTTAGAGACTGAGTCAACCCCAGGGATATAGTGCGGCTGGAAGGATTAGGTCAATTGAAAAAAAAATCCAATGACCTCATCGGGACTTGAACCCGCGACCTTCCGGCTTATAGCATAGCCCCTCAACCAACTACGCTACCGCGTACCTAACGAAGCAGTTGCGACCATAATATTTGCGTGGCGGTTTCAGCGAATGTAGAACATGATGTTTATATTTAATGTATGATTAATAATCACGAGAATACTACGTCATGGGAAAGCAGAAAGAAGTGCTACGTGTCTCAGCAAGAGCAGAAATGCTAGCGTGAATAGCATTAATTATATTGAGGTGTCCCGTCGATCTCTGCGTCCTTTACTGGCCATCACAGGGAACAGTGTGTATTGTTCTTATCGGTCTTACGAAGTTCGTAGTTTATTTTGTGACAAAATATTCCCGTACCTTCAAACTTAATAACAGTGGGGTCCTCAAAATGTATTTTGCAAATGTTAGAGTGGAAGTAAATAGATCCGAGCTGCCAAAGATTCTGCCAATCGACTGTCGAAAACATTGAAGGAGGTTATACCTCGGAAGGAGTCCCGTATATTCTATGAAATTTCCGTTGTAAATTTATCTAGCAACTCTTTAATGATGACGTAACAATCAACGTCAATATCTGATGATAATGGAGCATGAAAGATATGTGAGTTTCAAAAGTGTCCTTCCCTTGCGGAGCCTGTACTGATATCAGCATCTCTCTCCCCAGAAAGCTCACTCTAATGCTGGCTTTGTGCATTATTTCCACATAATTCCCTGTGTAAAGCAAAAATTATTACGATATGTTCTACTAGCTGTAAAATTAAATGTTAGAACATTTTCCCCACAAAGTGTCTTTGCAGGTTTCATATGGTTCTCAGAATAAGCACTGATAAATTTTAAACGAGCATAAGCCAATTAGTCTCTGTAATAAGAATGCACTGTGTTTTTATGCATAGAAACTGTATCATGAAATGGTATTTAGATACAATTCATGCCTCAAAAATGTAACTTTGATTTTAGGTTTTGTTTCCTGTTTTAATTAATTATGATAACTACGTATGGAGGATGTGAGTTGTAGTTAAATAAACGTAAAAACCTTAATGCTTACCATGAGACAGATTTCGCGAGAATGGAAATTTTTCGATATGGGCACACAAAAGACCTTGTTATTCCTTTTCAGAAGTGTGTTGACGTGGCAGCTTTAGCTTGTGCATCTTCCGCGAGGACAGTCCGATATGTCAGCGTAATCTCCTCAGAGACAGGACATTCGTTCACAACGCCAAACACAATAAATAAAATAGAAAAACAAGTGATGAAAAATTACTATATTTGAGCTTTGAATTCTCGAAGAAATCGTAATGGGAATTATGAGCTACAGGGACATTTTGCGAAAAAAAGCGGGCGAAACTAGCATGTGTAAATGAGCGCTCCGCAAGTACGAACAAAGGAGAGAGATGCCAAAAATAATAGGCATATTATTATTGAAAATCAAACGTAAGATTTCAGAGTGAAAGCTTTGCAGGGCTGCAAGGAACATAGTGTACATGGACGGACCTTAGGTTTTGGCATGTGTCACAGAATTAAGTCACTGTTAACTACGTGTAATGACTGTAATAGACTGTCCTGTGATAGAAGCTAGCTACTTCTAACGGACCCACCCTTCTCACCTGAGTACGGAAACAGATATAGTTTGTGAAACGTTTTGTTCGTTAGTGTTTTAGAATACAGGACGATGGACGAAGTTAAAAAAACCCAGCAGTCCCTTATATGATCACAGTTTTGGGCTCCATCTAGTGGTGTCAAGGGGTTCCGCCCCGTAGTTTTAACTCCAATCAAGCGTGTAGTCACTTGAATTTGTTGACGTGTGGCATATGTTGCAGGAGCGCATCGTGAGTGTGACCAGGCAGAAGGTGGGTGGCCTCGGACTTAGCATCAAAGGGGGCGCTGAACACAAGCTTCCGATCCTCATCTCAAGGATATTCAAGGACCAAGCAGCCGATCGGACGGGAGAACTGTTCGTGGGAGACGCCATCATCAAGGGTAAGCTGTTCGTCCGTTTGTCTGTATGATCCTCCATGTCTCAGTGGCCGTGACGGCAATTCGGCGTTCAGAATTCAGTCTTGTGAATGTTTCGGGAACGTCTAGACTTGTGTAACGCACAAGAATTAATTTTCCATACCAGTAGACGTATAAAATACCAATCCTTTTAACTCTACGTCTTCCGTGCACCTTAAAGAAGTGGCGTGGAGATGCTTCGACGTGAATAACAGAAACAATACCGACAGTGTACAACCGGAGACGGCGTACAGAGTCAAGAGACCTTTAGTGACAGATTTACATATCAGACACTGTAGCTCCGTGATTTAAGTCCACAAGCGAACCATACCGACCGAGCGACCGCCGCTTGTCGGCGAAGTTTAGTGCCAACTTTTGCGGATAGAGAGTGTCGCGTGGTCAGCGCAACGAATCCCCACGGCCGTTAATTTCAGTTTTCCAGACCAGAGCCGCTATTTCCTTGAAATAGCTCCTCAATTATCATCACGAGGCTGAGTGAACCCCGTTCCAGACCCACTACTTCTCCGAAAAAATCTGGTAGCGCCGGGAATCGAACCAGGAGCGCTGACCACTAGACCACAGAGGCGGTCTATCAGACTGTAAATAGATTAATCTCAATAATTTTGACGTTTTGAGTAACGTGGCGCAGATGTTGGAGCGCTCCTTCCGCGCGTTCTGAGCTTTTAGAGCTTAATGCCGATATGCCAGTTAAAACGTTTCGATTAAAGGGGCTGTATACTACGATTACTACATTAGTTCGTCACTCACCTCCATCTAGTGTTGAGGTCAACAGGTGTGGAGCTATCCTTGTAACAGACCATGGAAACCCTTAGGCTTGTGAGACGTCGAGGCTCCCGCATTTTCTAGACAATAGGCTCATAGATGGTGGTGAGCTTGTTAGCCTTACGCGCCTGCCACCGTTTACAGATAGAAAATATTCATTCTTTTCCTCACATTGTGGTTGACTATGTCTCTTTATGAAGGTGAATTTGTGAAGTAAGTTTAGATTGCAGTGAACTTCCAGCCCAAGCATCAATTTCTGTACTTACAAATAATGTAAGATTTGAGGTTTTCACGGCGGTGACTATGAAGAATGTCGTCTTCTGGGATGTGGCGCCGTGTAGATACTGTGTAAACCGACGTTTCGGAGGAACGTATTACCTCCATCTTCAGGGTATAAAAATCCGCAGCCACCTGTTCACGCTGGTTCCTCGTTTGCGGATTTTCATACCCTGAAAATGGAAATGATACGTTCCTCCGAAACGTCGGTTTACACAATATTTACACGGCGCCACATCCCAGAAGACGGCATTCTTTACAAATTTTGTGCGTGGATTACAAAAAGATGTGTTTGAAGATAAAGAACATACAAAAGTGTGAAATAATAGGATATGCTGCAGATGCTATCTAGGTATAATCCTGAACTTCAAACAAGTACTCCAAGGAATACATGAACCGAAATTGTTAGTTCTTCATGGAGAAACTTGAAATGTTATGAAGAAAATAATAAATCAGAGGAAAACAGTGGCAGGAATAACGCTACATCAGAACAGTGAAAGGTGTGGAAATGAGTGTCAGTCAGAGTGAATATGCATGCTCTTTGTACTCCTGAACTCGTTTTAAGGGTCTAAATATTGTGTACAAAGTGTGTCATCCATAGAAATAGGCAAGAATATGGAACAGCATGTAAATAGTTATTATAATCTCAGTTAAGTTAGTATTAGGCTTCAAAATTTAATCACAGTACAGATTTTCTGAGGAGCTTTTTTTTTTATCACCCTCACTTACAACTTAAAATGAACTAATTTCACTGTTGTGATACTATTCAACTTTGTTTACAGTTAATGGAGAATACATCACTTCCTGTAAACATGATGATGCAGTCAACATCCTGCGCAATGCCGGCGACCTTGTCATGTTAACCGTGAAACATTACAGGGCAGCCACACCTTTCCTCCAAAAAAATTGTAAGTAGTCAACATATGAAATTTAACCTTTCAGGAATCTCATGTGCAGGAAAGAGAGATTTATACAACATGCCACTTATCAATTTGGTTCAAGCAGTTATGGTTCTGACTTGTATTCAGCAGTGCCTGTTTTGAATCTTGGCCAGGAGTCTGAATACCCTAATTGAGGCTTTCTATGGCTTTCTATGACCTTCTTCAGTTCTTCTAGGAAGATGCTACATTCTGACTGCCAAGCCCCATCAGAAAAGTATGTGCTAAAAACGTCAGAGCTGCTTGGGGATAAAGGTTGTTGCACAGAAAACCCCAAAGTACTGCTCAAAAACTCCCTTCAAATGACAATAGAAGTAGACAGCAAGCATACCTCTTCCCTCCTCTAGACATCAGTATGCTACACTTGATGCCGTCTAATGACAGAAATGCTCTACTAAGTCACTAACATGAGCCAGTTTCTTTGACTGTCTCAGATTGAAATGAAGTACATCCAGATGTTCTCATTGGCTCATGGTATGCAAAAGGGTTTAATGAGGTCATAACAGCTTTCTTCCACATTTCTTCCAGTTTATTATTCAGTGTCATCAAATCATTCAGGGCCATATATTCTGGGTTACTGACATCATTTAATACACTACAGGGAGAAGAAGTATACAATGCTGGAATAGAAACAAACAAGACCTATTTTGAGATAAGGCCTGCACTGTGATTTTTTTCCTGAAGGTGTGTAGAAAAACATGAAGGATCCTTAGCCAGTCCAGTCGGTCTCCCAGCTGAAAATGGAATTGGAAATCTACTTACTTGACACTGCACCATTTGTGCCATCATGGTGACAGGACACATGGTAGCTTAGTTGGTTGAGGTACTATGCTGTAGGGGGGCACGCGGTATCGTAGTTGGTTGAGGGGCCATGCTACAAGCCAGAAGGTTGCACATTCAAATCCCGATGAGGTCATTGGATTTTTTTGAATTGACCTAATCCTTCCCGCCGCACTATGGTCCTGGGGTTGACTCAGTTTCTAACAGAAATGAGTACCAGGAATTAATTAAATAATTTTCCTGGGGAGTAAAGCGTGGCTGGCGCGTAAGGTTGACAACCTTACCGCCATCTTTGAGCCAATTGTCTAGATAATGTGGGACCCTCAACGTCTCACAACCCTATGGGCCTTCACGGCCTGGTACAGGGACAGCTTTACTTTTACTATGCTGTAAGCTGAAAGGTCGTGGATTTGATTCCCAACTAAGTCAATGGATTCTTGAATCGACCTGTTCCTTCCAGCAGCACTCCAACAAATGCATGTACTGAAATTGTTAGTTCTTCATGCAAAAAATTAAAGGTTATGAAGAAAATAATAATAAATTATTGAAAAACAGTGGCAGGAATAACATAAATGAAACTGTATACATTAGAGTCTGGTGCAGCGTCATGTTAGAATGAAAGGTGTGGAAATTTGGAGAGTCAGTCAGGCTGAGCAGACATGGTGGTCTTGCTCCTGGGGTCGACTGAAATTCTAATAGAAATGAGTACCAGGAATCTTTCTGAAGGTAAAGAGTCGGCAGCAGGTAAGGCTGACAACCTCACCGCCATCTGTGAGCCAGTTGTCTAGAGAGTGTGGGAACCTTGATTTTCCACAAACCTATGGGCCTCCACGGCCTGTTACAAGGATAGCGTTACCTTTTAACAATCTGACGGGAGAGACCTGTGCTTCTAAGAATTTAATAGAACAATAATGAATGGTAAACTGACATGGGCGAAGACCCCTCCCCTTAATTTCATTTTGAAAGAAAACTGAGAATGTAATTCTTTGTGTTTTGAATTTTGTTGTAAGATTTAAGGTTCTCACAGCAGTGGTTATGAAGAGTTCTATCTTCTGGGACATAACTCTGCCTAGCCCATTGAAAGTCAACCAATGTTTTGTAGGAACAGGTTTCCTCCTTCTTCAGGGTGAAAAAATAAACCAAGCAAGACATCAGTGTGAAGCAAGTGGCAAGCAGGCTTTTCTTGACTTACTGTTTAACCTTGAAGATGGAGGAGACACATTACTCCAAAATACCAGTTGGGTTTCAGTAGATTACAAAGCACTGTATCACAAATGATAGAACTCTTTGTGACCACCACTGTGAGGACTAAATGTTCCCACACAGTTGAAATAAGAGATGAAATGTATGAAGAGAAAAGGGACCAAATCCAAGAAACTGTGGTCGCGGTGCAAGGGCCAAGAAGGCCCAACCCTTATACATTCATTCATTCAAATCCAAGAAACATGTGTCTTACAAAGTATGCACTTCTGTCATTGGCACTGCCATGATGACTCAATTATTTAATAATTTCTTCAAAATTTTATCAGGTGTAGCTGTCATGATGTGTTCATTGTCATCACTTAACTCAAAATTCTTGCAAATAATTGAGTTTGGAGAATAGAAAGCGGTAAGTAAGGACAGTATGAAAGTTTATCCCTATGAGTGATATGTAACTTGTTCAACATCTCCCTTAATAATAGGGCACTGGTGAAGAATCCAGCCATCTGAAAGTGGTTCAGTTTTCTCTATGTCCGACATCTCTGAGTTCAAGCACCTGGTTCTTAATATAGCTTTCAAACTCTAAATATACAATTGTTTTGGCATGCATACAGCAAATTAACTTTGATGTGCTTGCCTTTAATGACCTTGAACATTTAGGATATTCTTTTGTGACACGTATATCATTTCTTCTGTGGATTATATTAAAAATAGTAACATTTATCTTCATTTGTGACAGGCTTAATGACATTATAATTATTTCAAATCTGTGAAACATCAGAAGAAATTACTATCATCTGGGAAAGGAGATTTTAAATCCCAAGGCACTGCAGGGCTGGTGGGCAGATTTCACCTAAGAGTTATGATACGAGACTGCAAAAATGAAATAGGTGGCCAACTGGAGTATTTGCATGCACTGCTACCATAGTGCATGCGGTAGTATAGTTGGTTGAGGCACTGTGCTACAAGATGGAAGGTAACGGGTTTGAGTCCTGATGGGGTGGATTTTTCAATTGACATAATCCTTCTAGCTGCACTATTGCCCTGGTGTTGACTCAGCCTCTAACAAAAACGAGTACCAGGAATATTCCTTGGCATAAAGGGTGGCTGGCGCATAAGGCTGACAAACTTATCACAGTCTGTGAGCCAAGTATCTAGAGAAAATGTGGGAGCGTGGACGTCACAACCATATGGACCTTCATGGCCTGCTACAGGGATAGCTTTTACCCTTATTCTGTGCATCAATTTGAATGCACTGACAGAGGTTCCACTAATTAAGTTGGCCATTATTACACTTCCTTTTTGGCATCTTAATATGGATTCTTAGTTACTGCAGAGCTTTCATTACTAATTATAGAATCAGCAGTGGGCAGTATTCAATCGTACATACTTATGCTTTTAAGAAGATTATACTGTAGAGAAGCTGATTAATGTTGACTGATCTCCCATTTCACCTGGTGGACCAAAGACCATATAAATGTTAAGACAGTATCTTATGTAGGGTGTATCTGCTATCATGAACACATATTCTTAATGTACCTCTTAGCTATTGGTATTACACTTTATGCAGCTGAAGAAAGAAATACAAAGGGAGAACGGAGAATTGACTTTATGACACTGAGGTAAATTGAAAATAGGTCATTGGTATAGTAAATTCTAGTATATGGTCACTGTTCCTAACTGACTTTAACATTAGCGTTTCTCTCATGTTTGAAAGGCCTTTGCACCGACTGATTTTCCAGGGGTATCTGCTTTCCATAGTGCCTCAAAGTGGATCATATTGATGCTTCCTTTGTCCTTACCAGCTTACCATTTTAAGTATTACATTCATCACTTCCACATCACTTGTAGCAAAAAGAAAAGGGGTCGTGACCTTGCAACCTTAAATATTAATAACTATTTTGCACTGGCATTGAGAATTATTCTATTGCCTGTCAATATTATCACAGTCTCAGCATCTTTCCAGCAAGTGGTCTGGTGTAGCAATAAATTTCCAGATTTCTAGTTGGGAGTTATTTGATACAAATTTTGGCTGGGACATGGCTAAACTAACTAAGATCTTTTTGTGGTTTTTCTCAGTCCTTTAAGCAAATACTGGAAGCGAGCTAGGTTAGGCCATGACCGCTTCCTTCTGGTTCATCCTTTGTCCATCATCCCAACATTCACAACTATACAGGTTACTTACTGACAGCATCATTAAATTCTAACACTCCCGGAAGAATTTCATCATAATAACACTCTATTTGTAAACGAGTTTTGTCATGCAATTTGACTTATGTTGAGTGTGTTTGATATTGCAGTACAGAGAGATGAAAGTCACCTTGACAATGAAGGCGCTTCTCAGCTGAGATCTGAAGATGGTTGGAGGTCGCCTAGCAGTAGTCGACCGAACTCAGGGTCCTTCTCCCCCACAGGGATGCAGAGGCGGTGGATTGACATTGTCACAGGTTTGAACCACTGCACAATTAACAAATGAACTCCTCAGAGTTTTTGTTGTTGTTGTTGTTGTTGTTGTTGTTGTTGTAAGTTCCATGCAAAAACTTTGGTAAGGCAAAATGTAAAGTCCCTGTGTTTAATTAATTAATTAAGCACCATGACATGAAGACATAATGGAGGAATGGAAATATAGGTCCAAAATTTGGTGGGTAATAGAAATTCATAACAACCCACTTAATTTCTGCCTGCCACCATTATGGGAGAAGCCGGGATAGTGCAGTGGAAATAGCAACCGTCTACATGCTGAACGACCGATGAGCTGGAGTTTGACTCCATATAGAGTCAAGAATTTTCTCTTCTCCATGTTGCCCAGACTGGCTGTGTGGCTCATCCAGCCTCCTATTCAATTGGTACTGGGGGCTATTTCCCCTCAGCCATGGCTTGAAGCTGACCACTCACCTCTAGCTAGTGCTGAGGTCAAGAAAACACAGATCTATACATCCACTCCAACTTGCATCTTCAAGAAGTAATGCTTAATTAGTCAAGCACAAGGACAACTTTACCATTTTGGGATTCTGAAGGTAAAGCTAGGCTGTTCCCATTTTTCCACCCTGAACTCTCACTCTTAGTAGTCAGTAAATCTGATATAGTTAACTGGACAGGAATTCTCAGACAATTCAGCATGAATAACTGAATATCTTGTGTGACATCTTTCCCCAGATGTTGATATATCGTTCCAGATTTGTTCAGTGAAGGGCATTTAGTTTCTAGAGAAGTCTCCAGTACAGTGACTGCCAATATATAATGGGATAAATCTAACCCCATCTGAGGAGGTGTTGACTCCAGTCATGATAGGGATAACACCTGCTCCAGAGAACATATTGAGAGCAGCAGAGAAGTTGTCACCATTCCCACATTATCTGGCTGGCATGTCCAGAACATATCAGGACAAATCAACAGTCTGAAAGCTTAACGTTGACTCCAAGGAACGTTGTATAAGAAGAAGCACAAGAAACAAAAAGGAAGAATAAATATAAGAGAATGTTAAAAAGAAAGAATTGAAGGCAGGAAGGGAAGAGACCTTGATGAAACATCCTTTTCCTGGGCATCCCAGTTTTTCAAACGCAGGAACTGTTGCTGAGTATTGACTGTTGTATGACAAAAGGAGTTCTCAAAATGTCAGCACCTTGCCCCACAGAACAAATAAAAATATATTTGCTCTTGTATGGAGAATTTTGCCACAACACATAGTTGTGGTATTGTGGCATTGTCTGTTCTGGATGGGTTGACATCAAATGTAGTTCTGCAGATGCCGCAGTAGATTTCAAGAACAATTTTTTTCATAAATTCACCTAGTGCTACACCTTACATTACCTTACATTACATTACGTTACATTTATTTTTTCAATAATCTCCACGTAGGGCTGGATATAAAACATGTCACATATTACAAATTCATGATGACTACACATCATACATCCTTGGTCTAGGAAAACATATAATCAGGCCTCGCACAGATAGCTCAAGTTGTCAGGACAACACACATAGGCCATGGAAAAACCACTGTCGAATTCACACCTTGCCATTCCATGCACACTGGCCAGCCATATCATCAATACAGTATCATTATAACATATTAAAATTCATAACAAACACGAACATCATACATACTACTACCCTTACAAGCAAGTCTCAACAACGTATAATGCAAGCACACAGACTATTTATTAACTCTTAACTTTTGAGCCCCTTGCATGCTCGACAAATTCGTCAATAGAGTAAAATGAGTTACTTTGCAAATAATTTCATAAAACAGACCTAAATTGATTTCTATAATTTTTTAAAACTATGATATTTGACTGCACAATGTTAGATAGCTGACGCCTGAATAATACGCCCCTCTCTGATAGGATGATAAATGTGCTGTAGGTATATGAAGGTGGTCATTCCTTCTTGTACCAATCACATATACAGAGCTATTTGTCTGAAACTTATCCAAATTATTAACAACAACTATAACTTTCTGTAGCAGTTAGAATATAGGCGCATGAAGTACCCCCTCTCTCCCCTGTACTCTTTCCCTCAGTTTTCCCACTATGTAGATTTCATCTGACAAAAAACGAATCAGTAAGTCTGTACACATCTTCAGCCATAGACATTTATTCTGACATATGTCAAACTTCCTTGAATCTTGACTGTTCCAAACAGTTTACAGCTCATATGATTTATGAGTGTAAGCTAGTGTATTTTGAAAGCATCTGTTCTGTTTGGGTTTAATATCAGCATTTACATTACTTCATGAACCAAAACTTAGCAATGATTTTATGTGGCACACACAGGAAATTAACTTATGTCTTGATACTTTTTGCAGTTCCGCTGATGATGGCATATGTGACACGTTATATCTTCGGAACAGACAAGTTGCGACCTAATGCGTTTGAAGTGAGAGGCCTTAATGGAGTGAGCACTGGGATCATCCACTGCGATGATGCAGCTATTCTTTCCCAGTGGCTCAAATATATTACAGACAATATTGTAGGACTCACAAACCTACAGGTACTAATAGTTAAGACCCATAGGAGATTTGGGGGGCAGACAGTAGCGTTGTTGGTTGAGGCACTTTGCTCTAAGTTGGAAGGTCGTGAGTTCAATTCCTGATGAGGAAGTAGAAGATATGAATGACAGCAAAATTGATTGCTGGTTTCTGCACTCCATCAGTAACCTTGTACTGGTTTGATATTTTTATATGAATATATGACTATATTTTAGACACTTTGTATGCGATTGGTAAACAAAATGTACATAGTCCATGATTTATTTAATCCGTCTTGCAGTGCATACACTCATTTATCTCCTTCTCTCCCTCGCACTACATGTTTCGGCATAATAATGCCATCTTCAGGTGCTTACTTATCCACGTCAAAGCACCTGAAGATGGCATTATTATGCCGAAACATGTAGTGCGAGGGAGAGAAGGAGATAAATGAGTGTATGCACTGCAAGACGGATTAAATAAATCATGGACTTAAATCAGTGCAACAGGACGCTAAAATATAACAAAATGTACATATTTCTATTAATAATTAGTTGAATATACCAGAGGATGGCCTAAGGTTTTGAAGGTGTAGGGCACTTTGATCATTATCTTATTAAAGAACTTGTTATATGGAATGGTACTTTGATGTTGATCCCGAAAGGCAGAGAGCAGTGAATCAGAGCTCATGATGCTGCTAGAACAGTTGCAGTAAGAGTCTGTTGTAGTGGATGTTGTGCTGTCCAGTATATGATGAGCTGAAATTTATATGTAATTTTTTAAAATTGCCAGATGAAGCTGTACAACCGGAACTTCCCCGCAACAGAGCGGATCGAGTACATGGGCTGGGTGAATGAGGGAATCCTGAACAATAATCAGCCATGGCAAAACTACAAGCCAAGGTTTCTCACGCTCAAAGGCACAGATGTGTTACTTTTCGACTCCCCACCAGTAAGTATCCAACGAAGATACTACTAGAAATTGTAAAATTAGTATCATTGTTTAAATATAATATAGGAGTCCATCTCTTCCAACAATCAGATTTCATCACGACTTGTGTATGCAACATTACATATGAAAAGTCCTGTGTATGTATGTCTGAATTTCCATCTGGTGTGTGAGTGCCAGAGACATGTTAAAACTAGAATCTAGTAACTTTCTGATCATGATTTAACAGTCTACATGTACATCAATCACTGATAATGGTGCACTCTCTATCCCATTGTAGACATAGTATATGCTCCCTCTTGTGTGTAAGCAGCATGCATGGATGAGTAGGAGACTGGGAAGTAAAGCTACTTTGGCATGAGGAGAAGGTGAATGTTCATGTTCAAGGTTCAGCTGCTTTATCCCAGTGAAAAAGCTCTCGGTACCTGGCATGGAAGGAACCAGATGTGGTCCGGATATCATCCTAAAGGAAAGAAATCCCTGCTCCTGTCAGGAACTGGGCTCTGGCTACCCAACCAACAGCCAGTCATTTCACAATTTTAGCTATTGCAGCTCTGACTTGTATGTTTTGTAATTTCATCACTTTCATTTTCCCCATCATATCTACAACACACAGTTTTCTCTGTCACCTCATACCTGTGCCAATATCATTCATTATTTATGGTTTGTTTAATGATGTTGAATAATATTGTCACGTGTTTAGTGTATAACGCGACAAATAACTTCACGCCATATTTGATATAGCGAATTTTATTTCACATTCGCACTTACAATCACCCAAATTACAGATTCACAATTACTGCTATCTGCAGTATCACAAATACGACACTCCAAATGCCAGAATGCAACTGACTGGTTGCTGGCTAACTCAGAACTCTCTCAGAACTAACTCATAGGTAGCTGCCTTGAGAACTGTTGATCACACACTCGCTCGTAGGCTTGCTCGGAACTAACTCGGAACTGTCTTCAGCGATGGCCACGTTACAACTCAACTCCGCAGGCAGCGCAGCTCTCTTATATAGGGGCTGTGTGTGCCTGTTACGTGCCATGTCACAGTAGGAAGCGGTGCCGCGTCACCGTGTTGCGTCACCGCGCGTTGCGCGTTATGTCACCACAGAGGGGAGTGGCAGGCTGGGGGACTCGCCTATTACCATAGTAACACGAGCGCTACGTTACCGCCATGTACCGCTGGGGAGGTAGGGGTCCTCCGTTGCACAACATGTCACAATATTATGGCATGTAGACACATTGCTAGGCAATGGCAACGGCCGTTGCTAGGCAGTGGCTGAGTAGTGATAATGTGTTTATCCACACAGACATGAATGCAACAATGGGGTAAATTTGAAGCGGCGTTTTCTATGCACTCTCTGCCAAGTAGTTAGAGAACTGCTGATGCTCAGTCGTTGTGAGCTGGTAGCTGAGGCCAGGGATCATTCAGAAACCCAGAGGAAGGGGAACGTTCGTCACTAGAAACCGCTACCAAGCAATGGCTAGTGAAGACTAACAGACTGAGAAGACCTAGTGTGTCCTATAATGATTGTGAAGTTAGTAGAACAGTGAGAGCATAATCCTTATGTGTAGTGATGAGTTGTAAGTTCAAAAAATCAGATTACCAATCCAAACCTCCTCTATAATCACTAAAATCATGACAATATAAAGCGAGGTCCTGGTTTTCACTTGAAATGACTGAGGAATATTACAGAAAATCGCAATAAGGATGGCTGGTCTCCCGTGTAGCATTTGAACCTGTGCCTTTATGAGTACAAAACAGTGCCACTCAATTGACTGCAGCTCATGAATATTAATGATTTTGGAGCCAAGTCATTTTGTAAATGCATATGCATACATAGTGAAGATTCCTGAACTGGGCTTAGAGGAGGAACATATATAGTTTAACTTTCCACCAACATACCTCTGTTCTACTTGTATTCAAGGGCACAGTTGTAACCAGAAATACATTTCTTGTGTTAATTTGTAAGATTGCAATTTTTAAATTTAATTTTTGTGATCTAGTTTCTTATTAACATTAGCTGTCTTACACTATCTGATAACACTCTGTCATACCTGGGATTTTGTGATATGATTGTGAGACATCATTTCCAGGTCATTATTTTGACTCTCTCTTATCTGTTACTCAAAACTTTATTCCTACCTGTTCCCTCCTGCCTGCATCACGGTTTGCATGATTTCTCTCCCTCCTACCTACCCCTTTGTCTGCCTGCTCTGCCTGTCTTTTGCACTTTTATGACTCTGGAGAGGTAACGCATCCCAGCAAATTTGGTCCTGGCTGTAATCTGTTTTGTGCAAATCATTGTATGGCTTCAGGGTTGAATGAATAAAGTCCTGAGCTGAGTGAGTGTGTGTATTTTTCTAGTATGTCTTCTTAGAAACGTCATTTCACGATTTTATTATATCTTTTTATGGTAAGCATTTATGTTGGAGTGTCTCTTGGAAACCTGAGCAAGACTTACCTTCAATTTGTATTTTCACTTTTCACATTGTATTGTCATGTGTGCTGAGTTCAACAGGGAGGCAGGACTTTTACCAGAATTTTCATTTGCCACCCTTCAAGAAACACTGCTGCCTCCAGATGATTCTGGAAGCTGAGGAGACCGAGGTGGCTGAATCCTGTGAGAATGTCCTGGAATGAAGATGCAAGAATAAAAGAGTGTGGAATTTCTGGGTTCAGTGAGTCTGTGCTTAGATGCAGTGTGTTGCATTTGTGTGTAGCAAAACGGTGCAGCAAAAAGCATGTAGTGAGTTCAAGCTGGCGGTGACAAGACAAGTGCAAGGAGGCAGTGCAGTGGTGTTCAGTGCAATAGTAGTGATGTAAAACAAAGTGATTGCAAAATCATAAATAAATAACTGCTCTGAAGCCAGATAAATGTGGACAATATCTTAAAAAATAAATAAATCTTAAACTGATACTTTTAATTCTTCAGGCATTGGAAGTACATGATTCTGAAGTTCTCTCCAGTCCAGTATGAAATGGGTGTGAGATTTTTAAACTTTGTACGTTTATTAAACCCTGTGCAGTGTTAAATTCCAGAATATTGGAACCTTCTAGGCTTAGAGTAATGTGCTCTAATGAAGTCATGCAGAAATACTACTGATGAATATTCTGTTAATAGAAATGCTTTGTATATGCTCTTGCAGTTAAATATAATGGACTGGCTGAAGTGTGGCTTAGTCTTCAAAGTCTACCAGACAATGTTCCGAGTGATCAAGGATTCTGAAAATGTGGATGAGAGACAACATTGCTTCCTGATCCAAACATCAGGCCATGAGTCAAGGTACTTGTCAGTAGAAACGAGACAAGAGCTGCTGAGAATAGAGAATGCTTGGCATTGTTCTGTGTGTGCAGCCGTCATGAAGTTAGGGGTAAGTCATGTCTTACTGAAGCTTGTAGATCTCATATTTGTACAAGGGGCCACTTCCACAAAATAATTTATATCAGGCCTATCCAACTCATAACATATGTGTTGCATGTGGTCTGAAGAAATATCCATTCTTTCTAAAAAATATGTATCAGTACTTTGTTGTTGAAAAACATTACAAAAGTATTTACTACATAATTATGTAATTTTTCGATTAATTTTGCATTACACTTGGTGAATAACTTATAGAATTATATGACTCCATGATAGTATGTAATATTCATGCACCCTAGTAATCTAGACTACTTCCTTAACAGATCTTGATATCATTGTTCACTAACAGAAGAATCTCTTTCTTACATTCTTTAACTTGCTACTACCAAGACAAATGTACATAATGTCTACTCTTATGAAGGAGACATCTGATGAAAGTTTGCACTCTGTAACCAATTCAGAATTAGTGTTTTCTCTATTTTGTCTCAAGCAAATCTATTCCATTCTTTTAATCTTAATATGTAACATTACAGTACATTAAATATAAATAAAAAATTTTGAACCATGTGAGTCCTATTCTTATTGCTGAATAACTTCATAGATTTTATCATTTCAGAGCACATACATTTGTCAGTATATTGAAAAAAGAAACATGCTTTTTGTAATGCAACCCACAGGTATGTAAAGTACAGTGTGGCCTCTCAGTGTTTTAAAGTTGGAAGGCCAAGATTTGTATTTTCATCCATATATTTTACCTGTTTCATTTGTCATGAAAAAGGTAAAGCTATCCCTGTAAGGTTGTGAGACATCGAGGCTGCCACATTTTCTCCAGAGAGTTGGCTAACAGATGGTGGTAAGGTTGTCAGACTTACTCACCAGCCACCCTTTACCCATCCTGGTACTCGTTTCTGTTAGAGGCTGATTTGACCCCAGGGCCATAGTGCGGGGATTCACCCAACCTCCTATCCAATGGGTATAGGGGGCTCTTTCACTTGGGGCAAAGCTGCCGGGGCATGAAGCTGACCACTCACCTCCAACTAGTGCCAAAGTAAAGAAAATCTGGATCTATACATCCACTCCCTCATTCGCCTTCATGGCATAGTGCTTAATTAGTTAAGCACAGGGACAACTTTACCACTTTTTTACCCTTTATTTGTAGGGAATGATGTGTGGCAAAATTATATGTTTTAACATTTTAAGGGGCACACGGTAGCATAGTTGGTTGAGGCACTATGCTACAAGCCAGAAGGTCATGGGTTAGAATCAGAATATGGTCATTGGATTTTTCAGTTGACCTAATCCTTCCAGCCGCACTAGAGCCCTGGGATCTGTTGGGAATCTAGTAATGTAAAAATGTTCAAGTTGGTAATAGTGATCTATATTCATTTGTTTTTGTTTTATGTTATAATAAAAAGCTTCTTCTCATCCAGCATGGCTGTTAAGTGATATGTAAGCAGGACACAAAGAAAGTCAACAGGATCAACTCAGCCTCCAAGAGAAATGAGGACCAGGAATCTTTCTGGAAGTAAGGGCAACTGGCGCATAAGGCTGATGACCTCACCACCATCTGTGAGCTAATTGTGTAGAAAATGTGGGAGCCTCGACATCTCAGAACCCCATGGGCCTCCATTGTCTGTTATAGGGATAGCCTTAGCCAGTGGAATTATCAGCCTCTCTTGGTCCAAATCTATATACAGGATGATTCCAACAAGTGATGCTATTTTGTCTGTGTTCTCTGTACTGAAATTAAAGTGGAGCATTTTGAATGAGAATGTGTGAAATGTATTTAGTGATGGAGGTACAGTGCTTCAAAAATTGGATGTTGTTTTTAATCACATGTTTACGTGGTTTCAAAATAATCAATTTGTGTTAAATCTGGATAAAACAAAACTTATAAAATTCACCCCAACAGCAGTTACGAGCTACCTTCTATACACTGTTTTTAACAAAAAGCTGAAAGAAGTAGAAACGATAAAATTTCTTGGTTTTCAGCTGGACAATCATCTGACTTGTAAGGGACATATCAATGTTTTGCTTCATAAGTTGAGCACAGTTGGTTTTGTAATGCGAAATAATAATACTCTTAAAGCTGTATATTATGCATATTATCATTCATTGGTGAAATATGGAATAATATATTGGGGAAATACATCAAACAGTCATAAGGTCTTTGTTATGCAAAAGAAAATATTAAGAATAAAGATGGGAGTGGGCCCAACTCATACATGTAGAGGCCTCTTTAAAAAGCTTGACATACTGCCAATCCCATGTGTATATTTGCTCTCATTGATGACATTTGTTGTTAATAATTTGGATAAGTTTCAGACCAATAACTCTGTATATGTGATTGGTACAAGAAGGAATGACCACCTTCATATACCTACAGCACATTTATCATCCTATCAGTGAGGGCTGTATTATTCAGGCGTCAAGCTATTTAACTCTACTGTCAGATATCACAGTTTTAAAAAATGATAAAAAACAATTTAGATTTGTTTTACGAAATTATTTGCAAAGTAACGTATTTTACTCAATTGATGAATTTGTCGAGCATGTAAGTGGCTCAAGACTTAATAAATGGTGTGGGCGCGTGAATTATACGCTGTTGAGACTTGCTTGTTGTAAGTGTAGTAGTATGTAAGATGTCTGTGTTTGTTATGAATTTTAATATTTTATAATGTAACTGTTTGGATGATATGGCTTGCCAGTGTGTGCGGAATGGCAAGGTGTGAATTTGACAGTGTTTTTTTCCACGGCCTAGGTGTGTTGTCTTGACAACTTGTGCTGTCTGCGTGAGGCTTGATTATATATTTTATTGGACCAAGGATGTATGATGTGTAGTCATCATGAATTTGTAATATGTGACATGTTTTATATCCAACCCTACAGGGAGATGATTTGATCCATGAAGTGAAAAATAAATGTAAATGTAAATACTGTGCCACCAAACAATTTAGTTAAATGGTTAGCTCTTCTGCTTTGTACTTTGCAGTTCCAGTTTAAAATCTTACCTGGGGACCAATTATCCTGTTAAATTTACTATACCCTTCCTCAGACCTCCATGAAAATTCTGGGCTACTTAATACTCATTGATATATGTGACTTTCTAAGTAGCTGTGCTGAAGGTATATTAAGTGCTGCATTGCATCTGATTTCTATGTATAAAGCAGTGGAAATCCATCGAATGTTATGAATTTTAATAATGAATGTATAAAGACATTTGGTTTTATGCTTCTTGACAGAGCAAAACCTTCAGTGTCACCACCTCAACTGGCAAAACAGCTGGCCTCACACTGGACTGGCACATGGGATTTGCTCTATATGACATGGAATCAAAGACATATTCTTGGAAATATAAATTTTCTCAGTTGAAAGGTTCATCTGATGATGGGAAGTGCAAATTAAAGCTTCATTTTCAAAATGCTGAGAACAGGATAATTGAAACAAAAGTAAGTATGACATAGAAAATATTCCTTGTTGCCTTGTCCACATGCAGGAGGTTCAGGGGGGTTTTCTCTAATTCTGGGATTAAAGTTGATACTTACCTTCAACTACTGCTGAGGTTAAGAAGTGTACAGATTTATCTCTCCCCCCCCCATCTATATTATAACATTATGATTAGTTACAAGGACATCTGCTTCACTTTTATATCAGTCCTGAGAAAAAACAAAGAAAAGGAAAATGTGTAATATCTGAGGTTTTTGCTGTCATGAGTGTGAAGAGTTCCATTTTCTTGGATATAATGCCGTGTAGTCCAGTGAAATGACCGCCTCTGTGGCCTAGTGGTCAGAGTTCCTGGCTACAGATCCAAAGGTCCGGGTTCGTTTCCCGGCGCTACCAGATTTTTTCGCAGAAGTAGTGGGTCTAGAACGGGGTCCACTCACCTCGTGATGATAACTGAGGAGCTATTTCAAGGAAATAGCGGCTGCGGTCTAGAAAACCGAAATTAACGGCCATTGCACTGACCACGTGACACCCTCTATCCGCAAAAAGTTGGCACTAAAACTTCGCTGACAAGCGGTGGTCACTCAGTCGGTATAGTTCGCTTGCGGACTGAAGTCACGGAGTCCAGTGAAATTGCTGCCTGTTTCATGTTGGTTTCTTGCTTCGCTTACTCTTCAATCCCAACAATGGAGGCAGTACTTTCCTCTGAAACACTGGTTCACTTTCATCATACTGCATGACATTATACCTTAGAAGATATAACTCTGGTTAGTAATTAATGGAAACCATCATTCATTGGATTATAGAAATTTGAAGCTAGGTCATATAACTCCAGATACAGGTGACTTTTAATTATCTGTGTGCAGATTATCCACTTTCAAGATTAATCATAAGACCTCTGGAGCCCCTTAGGTACTGAGTACAGCTTCCTATGATTATTCAGGTGTTTTTCTTTACATCAGTTTCAGTGTTACATATTGTTGATGTTTTACAATGATTTGCAATAGGCTCCACTTCTTCCCACACGTTTGCAACTTTCTATTATATTATCTGATTGTCCTTTCCTGACTGCCACTGAATAATGGTCACTTTCTGCTATTGGAATGATATTTTTCTTATGTTTAGTGACCAGTAGCAGCATCAGTAAGTAACAAGTTAGCAGTTTTCATGTTTGAATGCAGCGTGGATAATGGATTTATCTAAATTCTTGGATCATCCATTCTACTTTTCCCTCTGTTACCAAAAATGTTAGAGCATTCACTTTAGCATATAAATTCAGAATGGAAACTGTGAATATACCACTGGGGCATTGTTTGTTGTAGAAAAAAGGGACGAAATTCCGGCAGTAATGGTACATGATCTATTGCCTATCCTGCCAGATAATCTCATATCCGAAAGATATCATTTGCGTCATACTTCTCACCTTTCTCTTAGTTCAATCACTTAGATGTATCTGGACATTCCATATAAGTAATGCAGGATGGACAGTAAGAGTTCTCCATATCTCATAAGGAGACCATCTGCACATGCTCTCATATGGTAAGGTAAGGTTATCCCTGTGCCTAAGTAACTAAGCACTATGCCATGAAGACATGTGGGGGAGTGGATGTATAGATTCATATTTTCTTCACATCTCACCAGTTGGAGGTGAGTGGTCAGCTTCACGCCCTGGCTGCGTTATCCCTGGGGTAAGAGGCCCCAGAATCCATTGTATAGGAGGTTGGGTGGATGCCAGAGCCTGTCTGGGTGACATGGAGAAGTGTAAATTCTTGACCCTACAGGGACTCGAACTCGACCTCTCGGTCATGCAGCCCATAACCAGTCGCTATACTGACTGCACTATCCTGGCTCGCACTCTCTGATGTGGACAATCATTAATGTTAGAAGATGGCTTGAACTGTGTAAATTCACTTGTCTTAAAAATTCTGACGTTCCAATAGAAGACATATTTGGTGATTTAATTAGTCTGTTCTTCTAAAGAGGGATCCTATCCTGTCTCTAAACTCATTGTTACAAATGTCAGTAATTTTTAAAAATAACCACTTTGTTCCATGTTGTCTGTAAACAGGAATTAGAAACATCTTCTCTGCAAAGTCTGCTGTTCTGCATGCATGCCTTCCTCACAGCTAAGGTAGCATCAGTAGATCCAGCTTTTCTTAGTTCGATAACTCCATAATGCAATACAGTGATAAGAACTTCCATAGACACAGATGTAAAAACTGAAGAGTACTGTGCAAAGACATTACAGTGGTCTGTAGCAAGGTATGTTTTGTTGAAACTGGAATCTCACTTTGTTATCTATCTTCCAGTATCTAGAATAATTTATGTATATTGTTATTATTGCTGAGTCATTGATGTGTATTAGTTACATTTGTTTGTGACTGGAGGTAGATCTCAGGAATGTCCAAAAATTTTGTTTGACCCTGAAATCCACACACCATATGAATCAGTTTTTCTGTTGCTATTTTAGTGAACCAGTTGTTCAATTTATTTACATTCTGTAAATCCAGATACAGGTAGACACCATAGGATATGGAACAAGTCAAATACAATATAAATACAATGACATCAGACATCTTACTGCATATTATCATACTTATTAATTTGTGTGGCTTACGTCTTTCCACATCATGAGCTGGTTACATTGCCTTTATGATGTGTATGTATTGACCATCTTCTAGAGCACACAATCTCACTTGTCACTTCACTACATGTTTCGACATCACTGTGCCAACCTCAGGTGTGTTATTTACATTAAACTATTGCACTGCTCGCCATCATGTGTCGTTTATAAAATGATTAAAAATGTATATTCGTCATGTACTATAATAAAATATATATATTAAAATTTGTTAAGATTTATCATTTTATACGTCGTATTTCAAACTCGCGTATTATATCATTCTTCTGCTATGGGAGTCGTTCTCCCTATATTTTGTGACAGTATACACAAAATACAGGAAGAACGACGTATAAGATGATAAATCTTAACAAATTTTAATATATAAATTTTGTTATAGTACATGACAAATATTCATTTTAAATCATTTTATAAACAACACATGATGGCGAGCAGTGCAATAATTTAATGTAAATAACACACCTGAGGATGGCACAGTGATCCTGAAACATGTAGTGAAGTGACAAGTGAGACTGTGTGCACTAGAAGACGGTCAATACGTACACATCATGGACGCAAATCAGTGTAACTTTTCTTAGCAGACACAACAATAATAATGCCTTGTTCAAATGAGTACATGCAGTGCTGAACTGCAAACATATCTCTGACTGCCTAATTTACTTATATTTTGTAGAGCGTGAAGCTGTCAAGTCAGCGCCACACTCTTCGTCCAGTTTCATGGTGTGGTACATTTCAAGGTACACATGTAGAGCTTTTCGTTTGAAATAGTCAGGGACTTATAAGGATGCAAATACTTGCAAGCTTTAGATGTTGAGGGTTGGGGGAGGGGGATTGCCTCTAATGCAATATTGTGCAGCAGAATTACCCCTCCCCTCCAAATTCTCTATCTCCTGTGCTCCAGTTATATGCAAGCCACTCATGACTCAGCAGTATGTATAGACAAATATCGTATTGTTACACAGCTGTTATGAATCATTCTTGTTGATAGGAATTTTAACTCACCTGACTACTTATTAATTGTTATGTAATTGGTGTAATGACAGTATTGTTTTCCTGCTGATGACAGTGCTAAGGAGAGTAGTGTTCGTCTTATGAGATGCCTGAAGAAACAGTTTAATCTTTGGCCTATGTAATAACGTTCTGTGATCGAAGAATGTGCTGGAACATTATAATATTAATTATAATATTACAAATACAATAATCACCCCAAACTCATTGTCTATAACACCTCTGAGGTTACCTCATACTATAAGAAGGGCATATTATGGAAGAGAAGTCATTTATTCAGTGAGATTCTGGCTTCCATTGTATATTGAAAATATAAAATCTGTTAACTTTATAACGATGATATAACAACCTGCATTACTATCTGATGATGACTCAACCCCAAAGATGTTTGGATACAGAATAGTGAAATTAAGTTTCTTTATACTTAAATAATTAAATCATCTTCAACCATGTTTCCAGTCTGTTTCAAGTACTACAGTGTCATGCTGTCAGCCAAATTTTTCTGGATATTGGAATTTTAAATGAGACTTCATATTGTAAGGGGCAGAATCCTTTCAATCCTGCTATGTTCTGCTATTGTAGGACAGAGAGAAAACAATATTTTCTCTGTGATGATGAATTGTTGTATTCAGTTGGTAAATTACTTGCACTCAGATGTGGGCTGTTATGTATATCCTTCTTCAGTTGATTGAGTATGTCTACCTGAAAGCAGTGGGTTATGTGCCAAGGGAAGAAAACCATGACTAGCATAGCTGGGATACATACATACCTACATATATTTCACATTTCACAAGTCACCAGTCAAACTTCAGCATTCAGCAACAGTGTGCCATGTGCCATAGCATAAAGAAACTATAAAAATATTCTACATTATGTGTGAGATTGAAAAACGAATTCCATCTTAATGTGCTCAAGTACTTTACACCGTTAGTGGCAGTTTCTTTAATGCCGAAGTTTTTGCTGGCTGATCAAGGGAGGCAGAGAGAAGGGGGAATGTACTCTAACTTTGTGATCTCACTCCTTATTGTCTATTCGCAACTTCAACCATATATTAATATTCACTTTCAATGTCTTCATCTCTTCTCATTACACTACACTACATGCTTCGTCCTAACTGGCCCTCATCAGGTGTATAAGATGTTGGACTAGAACAACCTGCTGCTCTGTTGTCAGTCTGTTCTGCTTCTCATTTTGATGTAATATGCTTCCAAAATATATTATTTTAGGTTATTTTAGATTATCATGCCATTTGTTTGTATGAACTTGTCTGGTGTATGTTTTGTTGATTATATCCTTCTGTGCTGTGTGTAACTATTGAAATGTGAACATTAATATATCGACAAAGTTGCACAAAGATGGCAAGGAGTAAGAACACTAAGTTAGATACACAGTGCAGCAGGATGCTGCAGTATAATACAGGGCTACTATAAATCATTCATTCGTTTTTAAAACGCTATATTTTCCAAAGTATTACACATACGGATATGACTGTATATAAAAAGAACTGTAAACTCACCAAGTTTGTATTTTGTGCCCCAGTTGGCAGCACGTGTTCACTGGCTTTACAAAATGGCGGCAAAGCAAGAAAAGAGCTTTTGTTTGTTGGAATATGCCAGATGTTCGTCTGTTATAGCAATGCAACGCGCCTTCAAAAAAGAGTACGGAAAAGAACAGACATGTAAACAAAGCATTTTGCGGTGGTATCGGCAATGTTCGTCGCTACCTAAACAATGAACTTCGGCATCGCCGGATTGGTCGTGTTTGTGAGGAAGACGTAGCTCTGTTCACTTGGCCCCCCAGATCACCTGATTAACGCCTTGTGACTTCTTCATTTGGGGGTACATTACAGATCGTGTTTACATACCCCCACTTCCAAGAACACTAGTAGAGCTGAGGGGAACGCATCGATGTTGCAGTGATGACCATTGACAGGATGATGCTACAAAATGTGTGGAACGAGCTCGACTACCGCCTGGACGTGTGTCATGTGACCCAAGGGGCACACATAAAACATTTGAAAAGTATGAAGAAAACTTGGTGAGTTTATGGTTCTTTTTATATATCAATCATATTTGTACGTATAATGCTTTGGAAAATATAGCGTTTTAAAAACGAATTAATCATTTATACTAGCCCTGTATTTTGGTGAATACAGTATTGTGTCAAAGGCAGAGGAGGAATTTGAGGGGAAGAGGGAAAATTTGACCTAGCCACACAACCAATTCTGCACATCTGCTGCTGTCACTCTTTGAAGGAATAAAGAAACCTTCAGTACAGTGTATCCTTATGTTGATGTGATTTCACCCTCTATGACTTCATTCTGGGACACAACTGTCACATAAATTGAGGAGTACCTGTAGTAGGTGACATCTGTAATCATCTGTTGCTTGTTTTTTTTTTTGTGTTTGTCACAGATAACTCTTTTCTGGTGCATAGAAAAGTAATTAGTCACTGGGCTAACATCTGGTGCAGACTTGCAGGCAGAAGCCCTGGTTTGCCTATCTTGTGTATTATGCATTATGCAAGGCCATTTTGCACACTGCAGCTCACATTTTATTTCGTTCTTTGCTTGGAACTAAATTGCGGTGTACCCAGATTTACGTGTTTTTGTTTTGAATGTTTTATGGTTTCTGTTTTTAGGTACATTGTGTATTTATACACCATATTCCCATGTGTCTATATGTAAGTTTGTGGTTAGTTTCTTGAAGACAGGTGCAGAGAAAATGATAAATCTTCTAAGTTATAAGAAGAAAAGTAAAAATTACAGGTTTGACCATGAATGGGGAATGTGATAATGGTCCTCCTTTACCTTCTCTTAGCCTGCTTGAAATTCCAAACTATTTTACATAAGCTGATTAAGAGGTCATCAGAAACATGTTTGGTAAGAGTCATTATTATCGTTAATAGGCAATAATATTAATGTACACTCTGCTAAATGTCTTATTTATATCTTTAAACACCTTTTTTTTTTGTATTTTTTTTTCATATTTGAACAGTCAGTATAATAATCATGAATCTGAGATTGTCTCAGCTGTGAATGTGTTGAGTATTATCTTCTGAGGTGTGACATCATTTAACCTTTAAGTGCTGAAGTGTCCTGTTTGGACCAGTGATGAGTATGGCCGTCATGGTCAAAGTACCCCGTTTTGGCCGGTCGGGCATTTAAACTCCGCTAGTGGAAGCGCGCGCACACGCCACTAGTACAAGCACATGCATGGTCCTGAATATTTATTTTTAAATGTAGTAATTACAAGACGGACTTGAGTAAAACCATAATAGAGGAATTAAAATAATACCTAAGTGAACAACAGCAAAAAAGAATATACATATGAGTTATGCCCAAAATCATCACAAGCCAGTAATTTTATTGCAGATTCTGCAGATAAATGTGTTAAAAATCTATAGTAAAATTCGATGTACATACCTTTTCTGTTATCTGCTTGATGTATGTATAGGCTGAAATGAAATTACAGTATTCAATTTCACTATGAACACACAGAAAACAGATCACACTCTGTATCTCAGCCACGATGCAGCTCTCTGTTCATGACCATAGAAAGGGCAATAATCTCTTGTGGCTATAACGGAAGGTCTTAGCACTGAAGAAAGGACCCCTCTAGCTCTTTTTCTTGAATAGCCATTCTTTCATTCTTCTGTCCTTTAGTCAAAGGATTCGAAAATCTGAAGAGTATAACAAAATGTAAGGTTTTCCAGCAGAGAACCAAATGATTTTATTGCTTCCATCTGTTTTATGACACCAGGGTTTGCTAAAATTTGTGAAGTGTTACAAACAGAAATGAATTTATAATGCAGAACAACTCTGTGAAGAACTGGGAAACCATTTTTGCAGTATGCATCAAAATTAAAAGAAAAAAAAAGAACATAGAGTATAATTCTTTGTATAAAAATTTTCAAATCTCTCGTTATAATATGTGACACTATGTTCTTTGCTGATACAAATAAAGTTAATTCCATTCAGTTATCATAAAAATTACGTTAGATACAGCATTTTTACAGTGCTTAAAATTGTTCAAGCGCCCTAACAGGAACGGACATTTAAACACAGAGTAGCAGC